AAGTGACTGACCATCTCTGGGCCTGTTTTCTTACTGAAACACGGCAGTAGGTAATAGTTGCTGCCTCTCTGGGTGGTGAAAGTGAAAGTGTTAGTCGCTCAGTCGTGTTGACTCTGCAACTCCATGGACTGTAGCCCACCAGGCCCCTCTGTCCTTGGGGTTCTCCAGGCAAGAGTATTGGAATGGGTTGCCATGCTCTCCTCCAGGGGATCTTCCCAACCCACGGATCGAACCTGGGTCTCCTGCACTGCAGGCAGATTCTTTACCATCTGAGCCACCAGGATGGTCTCCCTGGGTGGTGGAGAGAATTAAACCAGATGTGGGGCAGGCTCAGCATCGGGTACGCAATACGTGTCCACTGTTACTATCATCTGTTATGATTGCTTCCCAGGTTCATCCAAGAGGGGGTGGGGACCCCTCCCCTCTCGATCCTTCTGCCCCCTTCCTGGGCACGCTGGGCAGCCCCTTGAGCAGCTGTGAGCTTCCCAAGCAGGCCCCTGCCCACAGTGCCGTTCCAGGAGGTTGGCACCGAACAAGGCGGGAACAGGAGGCGGGAACGGGAGGCCAGCCCACGGCGGCGTCAGCAGATGGGCACCATCTGGGCTGGCGGCTCGGGGCGGGCTGGCAGCTGCCGGAACGGGCGGGCCTGGCAGCCCCTCCCCCACCCGCCCTGGCACGGTGCCCGCCCGCCTCAGGTTTCTCAGGCCGCCAGAGGGGGCGGGGAGGCCTGGCTGGGCTCTGGGGCTGGGCAGACAGCTTCTCTCTCTGGGCCCTGCTTCCTCCGGGCTCCTTCCCAAACGAGAGGCTGGGGAGGAGGCCCGGCCTTCCCACCGCCAGGCAACGGTCCTCAGCTCCACCCTCCAGCACTTGTGCTTGGGACCATTCCAGCCCCAGGGCCTTTGCACCGGCTATGCCCCCAAAATGGCCTGGCACACTCTCACTCAAATCTCTCTGTGGCCCAGCCAGAGGACCCACCATGCCTCTCCACGCCCCTCCCTGTCCTTAGCTTTTTATTAATTTAACTGAGAATTGTTAGCTTCCCCATCTGGTCAATAGCACACCCACCCACAAAGGGCATGCAAGGAGCAGGCAGTCCAGTGTCCCAAGGCAGAGCTCATATCACTCTTCTCAGCAGGGTCCCCCAGCTGTTCCCTAGGCCACCCTCAGGGCACACACAGAGTCCACTCCTGGAATCAGGGCCCCGTGTCTGCAACAATGCCAGATGGATGCCCGAGGCAGCCAAGTTTGGCCCAAGGTGGTGCCCTGGGCTCTGAGGAGCCTGGCAGCCCCAGCGCCAAAGGGATCTTCTCCCGGCTCGTCCCCACTCTTCTATTCTCCAAAATAAACCTGGGGAGGGAGGCCTGGGATTCCTCCTTGGGGTGGGGCCCCAGCAATCCTCCTGACAGCCCCAGGGAGAAACAGAGGCTGTGGGGGTGGGGGGAGCTGAGCCTCATGCCGGGGTCTGGGGACAGGGGATGGCCGAGTATGTGGGTCTCCGCGTGTCTCTCCCTCTCTTTGGGTCCCTCTGTGTTTCCAGGTCTCGCTCACTGTCATTCTGTTGCCCCGAGGCCCCGCATCTGACACCTGAGGCGGCACCTTCCAGCTGAATGGCAGATGCCCATCTCAGCATCCTGCCTGTGATCTGTCCCAGAAGTCAAGCAAGGCCCGCTTTCCCCACGCCCCATCAGCCCTATGGCCGCCCAGCAGGGCTGCTTTGAGTGGCCACTGCGCTTTCTCGGCCTGGATGCCCTGCAGCCCTGAGACCCACAAGGGGAGAGGAGAGAAGAGGTGGCCAGTTCTCTCTGCCATCAGATGATTGCTTGGCTAAGAACAGAGACATAACTCGGGCCCAGATGGTGATGGGGGTCTTGTGATGGAAGTCAGGGAGCTGGGTCTCAGCAGGGAGTTTTGGGCGGCAGCCTCAGCTTGGGAATCCTGGAGGAAGCTCTGGTTAATAGGAGCCTAGAACACAGACCCAGCCCAGAGGTGGCCAAGCCACATAGACTGGACACCCACATCCTACACTGCAATTTACCTCCATCCCCTTCTGCCACCAAGCATGGAAGGCTAGCAGGGGCGCCAGCAACAGAGGCTGTGCTGTGCTTAGTCGCTCAGTCGTGTCTGGCTCTTTGTGACCCCATGGACTGTACCCCACCAGGCTCCTCTGTCCATGGGAATTCCCCAGGCAAGAATACTGGAGTGGGTTGCCATGCCCTCCTCCAGGGGATCTTCCCAGCCCAGGGATTGAACCTGGGTCTCTAGCATTGCTGGCAAATTCTTTACCAGCTGAGCTACCCGGGAAGCCCCAGCAACAGAAGTTGCCCATGTTCAAACCCTAATTCTGCCCTTTTCTAGCTGTGACCTTGGGCAGGGCAGGTAACTTCTTTCAGGGTACTTTTTAGTTTCCTTCTTTTGAGGCTTCTATTTCCTCATCTGTACAATGGATACGATTCCTGCCTCACAGGGTTGCCATGAGAATAGAAAATAATTGCTAAGTTCTCAGAAAAACTGCTTGACAGAAAGAAAGTGGCACTGGGAGTTGGGGTTTTGAAGCATAACTAGGAGTTTTCCAGATAGGAATGACATCCGCAGCAGAGGGAACCATATGGGCAAAGGCACGGAGGTGGGAAATTATAACCCTAATAAGGATGATAATAATAATGGTCCAAGAAAATAAATAAATAACGGTCCACAAAGTCCTATCCCTGTGCTGGGTACTTCTCTTCATGACCCCACAGGGTTTATCTGTCAAACACTATCATAAGAATCCAACATTCCTACAGCTATTTTTTATTGTCTCATTTTAAAGACAAGGAAAGCAGACACAGAGAGATTCAGTGACTTGTTTAGGGTAACCCAGGCAGGCAGGCAGGAGGCTGAACTGGGGTTGGGCTCCCCGCCCAGCCCTTGAACCCAACCCTCACTCCCAGCTGGGTCAGCTGGAGCGGATTTGAGTGGCGGTCACCTGGGATGATGGCGCTGGCTCGAAGCAGGAGAGGGTGCAGCCTTGACCCTCTCCAGCCCTAATGCGAGGAAGTTGACCAGATCGGCTAGCAGAAGCATGGCCAACGGACACGAAGGTGTCTGTGGAGGCCTGGAGGCCCCGCCTGCCTGCTCAGCTGAGGGGGGAGGGGGTCGATGGGGGAGGGGAGGCGCCCGGAGATTGTGCTGACGCCGGCAGAAAACTTGCTTCAAAATTTTATCAGCTCAGCGCGGAGGAGGTGGGGGTGGGGCCGGGCGCGGAGGATGGATGTGGTGGGAGAGACCGGGACCTGCATGGTAATGAACGCTGCAGCCCCCAAGGCCGCCTTGCCCTCCCCTCCCCCGCATCCCGAGGGCTGCAAACTCTCACCTTGTCTACCCCTCTGTTTCTGGCCCCATCGAATTCCGGTGTGGGTGAGGGATGGGGCAGACGGGGTCAAGGTCAAGGAATCAAGGTCAAGACTGGGAACTCTGGACTGGCTGTCCCTCCCACACACTATGGTGACCAGGAGACCTCATGGAAGGTTCACAGCACCTCTAGGAGTTGGCGTGGTTGTTCCTCCCACTGTACAGAGGAGGAAACTGAGGTACAGGACAGGGCTAGGTCCAGTCACACAGCCAGCACACAACACACAGCAGGGCTGCGGTCAGAAGCTGGGCGGTCCTGCCTGGAGTCCCCACTTCTTCTCACTGCCCCTCCCCCACTCCTCCCAAGCCCTCCCCAGTCATTTCTGGTTGTGTGATCAAGTGGGTGCCTGTGGGGCTACCAGGGGTGGGACTGGGTCTTCAAGGCGAGTGCACCCACCTGACATGCTCAGGCAGCCCGGGTGTGTGCAGGTTCATGCCCACAAGGCTCAGCCTGGGTGGGAACAGGGCACAGGACTTGTGCCAGTTAGGTTCCCCAGGCACACCTGATTCCATCCGCATGAAGACAGTCATAGCTGCCACCCGCCACACAGCAGACCAGAGTTCAACACGCGACACACCATCTCTGAGAATCTCCCCAGGCCCAATCCAGGTAAGAACTTGGATAACCTCCATGTGACAGCTCCAATGACCACATCACCAGGAAGCAGTGGGTCAGTGAAGCCCACTGCCCGCGCAACCAGGCCCTGCCCATGACCACCAGGACCTGTTGACGTGCAGGACTGGGCCACCCGTCCGGCCTCTGCACCTCTGCCCAGGCTGCTGACCCCCTGGGAGAGCCCCACACTCATCACTGCCCCATCTTCCTGCAGAACTCAGCACAGGGGAGCCTCCTCCAGGAAGCTGTCCTGGATTTCTCCATCCTCACAAACCCCACTGGTCTCCACGTGGACCATTTGACCACAGAGCCAGCAAACACCAGAAACACCCAGCTAGAAGGGCGGGAGTAGGGAACCCTGATGACCAGAGAGATTGATGACATAGCTCAAGTCACACAGTGCCCCAGCTTCCCGCTTGGCATCAACATGACACCGGTCAGGACTCTGGGGAAGGTCTGAGAGTTGATCAACCAGCATTCACAATGTGCTACCCAGCACCCTTCCAGCTTTCTGGGGAAGATAAGGCTGTCCCTCTCCCACCTGTCAGTGGCCCATCCTCACCCCTGCTGCCAACAGACCTTCTGGGACAGTATCTCATTTCCTGTGACCTGCCACCCCCTTGGACATCAAATTCCGATGTCCTCCCTTCACACCCCCATGACACACCTGCTCCCTACCCCACTCTTCCCATGAACCGGATCTCTTTCGCTTACACTTCACATGGCATGTGCCTACTCCCTCTGACTTTCCCGGCACCGGCCTCCTCCCTTTGACTTGAAGAAGGCCCGCCTCCTTGCTCAAACCTTGCGAGACATGCCTCTCTCCTTGGACCTCTCATAGGTCAGCCTCCTCCATCCCCACCAACCCCGCGCAGGCCACGTGGACCTGCCTCCTTGCTCAGACCTGCAGGCCTGGATCACGACCCTACTACAGGCAGGTGCATCCCCAGCCCTCTCCACCTCCAGCCCTGTGCATGCGCACACCCTTACTCACCTCGCTCCCGCACGAAGTAGGCCAGGTAGAGGTCGAGTTCCTTGACCGCCACGCCGATGTGGTGCGGCTGCACGCAGAGCACCGGGTGGCCGCACTGCGCCGCCTTGACCAGGCGCTCGCCGTCGGTACTCTCCAGGGGGATGCCCTTGAAGAGGATGACCATGACCAGGTCCAGCCGCCACACCTTGTCGGCCTGGCGCAGGCAGTCGATGCGGCGCATCTTGCCCTTCTGGTCGGGGTTGGAGAGCACACAGCCCGGCGCCTTCTTGCCGGTGATGGCCAGCACGAAGTCCTCGCGGCACTCCGGCCGGATGTCCTTGCGCAGCTTGGCCAGCAGCCGCGATGCCCACTTCTGCTTGACTTCGGCCTTCTCGCCCAGCAGCTCGTCCTTCACCGCCCGCTCCTCATCCTTCGACATCCGTTTCTCATGCTTCTTGAAGTACTTGCGCTTCCGCGCCTGCAGGTTGAACCAGGTGTAGGCGAAGGCGCGGACGTGAGGCAGCAGCGCCTCGATGAAAGGGTGGAACTCATCCTGCGGGGCGGGAGAGGCCAGAGATCAGGAGGCGCTGGGGCCCGTGGACCCACTGCCCGGCCCGGAAGACTGAGGCTGCAGGGGCCCCAGGCAAACCCATTGGAGGGACGGTGGAACAGAGGTGTGCAGGGGTCCTCTGCAGATACCTCCAAACTTCCAAAGAAAAAACAGGGCCAGAGGGGACCCAGCAGAAGTTCACTGGATCGTCTGAGAACCCATTGCCCAGATGGGGAAACTGAGGCTCTGACCACGGTGGAAGGCACAGGCCAAGGAAGCCAGTCATAAAGGGCTGTCTTGAACTCCAATGTACAGGCAGGAGAAGCTGAGGGTCCCAGGTGGAAATTGATGGGGACCCACTGAACAGATGGGGAAAACTGAGGTTGGTAGAATAGTGGTGGCATGGATCTATTCCGTGCCTTCTAGAACTGGGGTCAGCAAACTTTAAAAAGTGCAAGACGCCACAGAGGAGATGTGACTGGCATGGCAGTGTTTCAGTAAAACTTTATTTATGAACACAGACAGTGGGCCTTGGGCCCTGGGACTGTACTTTGCAAAGCAGTGAACTAGAGCATGAGCTCAAATGTCCAAAGCAGGGCTTAGCACACACTGGACACTGACAATTCAGGAGCAAACAGGCTCACAGTGTCACTTGTCTGCCAGATCCACTGCTTGGCAGAAGAAGCTGACGTGAGACAGAGGTTCAAGGGCTGCCTCTACTGGCTCTTGGCAGTGATGAAAAAAGTGAGGACAAGATATCTTTTCTATAGCCCAGAGATACAGACAGAACCAGCTGAGGTCCACAGGCCAAGAGGTTCACAGGTCCACTGGGGTCTACTGTATGTCAGGGGCTAATGGAAGCATGGTGGGGGGGTGGGGCGGTTCCTATATAGACCCATTGCAGGGGCAGGGAAAGCTGAGGCTCAAGGAGGCAAGATCAGAATGCAGCAGAGAAAGGGGAGCTCAGTCATGGAGGTTCAGAGCTGGAGAGAAGGGTTGCCGGGGGTCAGTTCGCCCTAGCCTGCCCCGCAGAGACCCATTCTACAGATGGAAAAACTGAGGCCCAAGGAGGGCCAGAGACCTGCCCAGAGCTGTGACTTCAACACCCCTCTCCCACTGCCTGAGTGGGGCTTCCGAGCAGCCGCAACACCCATTTTACGGATGAAGAAACTGAGACCCCAAGAAGGGACTCAGTCACGAGGAGCAGAGCTGGGACAGGAAGCCATACCTAACCAACTTCTCCATGGAAACAACAACATCTCCCCCCTAGGAGAATAATGGGGCCATGGGAGGCCCCTTTCCTCTTTCTGGGGGTAGGAGGAGGCTGTCTCATTCTCGCCATTTTCAACAAAGGAAACTGAGTCTGCAGAACATCCCAGATGTGCTTTCTCACCCTCAAGGGGTGAGAAATTCAAGGAGAAAGGAAGACAGAGAAGAGAAATTTCAATCCCTAGTCTCGCCTGGGGGCTGCACTGGGCTTCTTGAATGGAGGTTATGTCTCTCCCTAGCATGTGAATCTCATTATCTGCCCAGCAAAGCCTGCATTATGCTATTATTATTATTGTTATTGACATTGTTGTCGCCGTAACGATTAGTTGCTTACAATCTTCTAGGGGCAGGAAAAGGCCTGGGGCTCCACTATGCCTTGAGTGATGGGGAGGCTAAGCTCAGAGACAGGCAGAGACCTGGCTGAGGTCCCGGAGGCTCTCAGGGTCTGTGTGAGGACACGAACCAAGACTCTGTCTGCCCCTTTCTCAGAACAGCCTGCTCTCCGTGAGGCAGGGGTCTCTCGGGGAGATGACGACACAGTTGCTCTGGGCCACCAGTTGGTTTCCAGGTGGATGTGGCCAGGCTCAGTCCCACCTCCAGGCCTGGATGCACATGGTACTCCCCGCCCCAGGTGCCCCCTCCCTGTCCTGTACCCCATCTCCCCTGGGCCACCTGTAGCCATGGGGTGCTGGGGGTGGGAGATGACCTCAGATCTCCCCTGTTACTGAGGGTCTGAAAATAGCCTTCTGCCCTCATGGGGTGGGGCAGGATGGGGTACTGTTTGTGCCAGCCCAGCCCCCTCTACGCCAATGTCCCCCGACATGTGAGTCACCGTAACAGCTGTGGCAGGGACTGGACCTTACAGCCCCTTCCGTGCCCCACCCCACCCTGCCCCGGCTGACCTGCTGAGGCAGAGGGAGAATGGAGGGGGCTGTCTCCTGCCAGGTGCCCTCCAACCTCAGGGGTGCTTTTCCTGTACCACCATGTCACTCAACATGCCAGCCCTGGGGGTGGGGAGCGGCTCGCCCAAGGTCACACAGCTGATTCGCAGACCTGGGTCCAGAGCCTGGGAGTCTGGCCAGAGAAGCTGGGGCAGGGGCATCCATGGAGGCATGGGCACTGTCCCCCATGGAGGGGACACCATGGTAGCAGGAGGCCTGGGCTGTGGCTGTCATCCAAGGCCGGGAGCTTATTGGGGGAGTGATCAGAGGGAGCTGGGAAGGGGCAGTTGGGGTGTCAGCAAGCTGAACGGGGATGCTAGCTCCTTCTAGCATAGGAACCCCCTTATTTGCCCGGTTCTCAAAAGCCTGAATTATGCCGTTATTATTGTTGCTGTTGCTAGGATTATTTTGGGCCCAGACTCTAACTCTCCCTGAACCCCTTTGTCTCTGAGCCCCTTCCCCTTTGATGAGTTCTCTCCTTTTCCTTCTCCCCTCTTCTCCAAGCCTCCTCACCCCTGCCGTATGACTACCCCCTCCTCCCTGGGCCCTCTCTGGGGAGAGATGCCAGGGAGGCGGGCAAGGGCAGGAGCCCACGTCACTGGTGACCCCAGCTGGTTCTGGAGGAAGGAAGACAAACAGCCTGTAACTGGGTCACAGACCTGCTGCCTGAGCCTCCACGTCCTCCCAGGGAGGTCAACCCAGGTGAGATGCAGGCCTGTTGCTCTCTTTGTCCCACAAGACCTGTGACAACCAAGGCCTCTTCCCCAGACACTTCCCAGTACCCTCACTGGTTGATAGGGCAAGGGAGACAGCCAAGGAAAGCTAGAAGCCAAGAATCCTCCTGAACTCCTATGCATCCCTCAAAACCCCATCTCCAGTGTTCCTTCCTTCAGGCAGCCTTTCTTGCTTTCCTCAGGGTTCTCTTCCAGACCTAGCCTGGACCACCCAGCTGGGCATTTTTGAGTCCAGCTCAACTGGTCTCCCTCAACCCTGAGGCCCAGGGTTGAAGCACTGGCTACCAGGCAGACTGGGGGGAATAAGCTTGGGTGACAACAGCCTCCATTTTCACCTCTGTATGATCCAGGAACAAATCATTGCTATGCCTTGGGTGTCAGTTTCTCATCCTATACAATGGGCAAAAAGGGACCTGGCACCCTGCTGGAGATCAGTGGGGAGCTTATCCACTGCTCTGGTAATCACAGATGCAAGGTTAGGGAAGACAGCAAGAAACCCCAGAAATCTTTCTTGGCCAACTGGGACTTCACAAGCTAACAAGTATAATAAAATGTCAAGCTGGACTTCCTTGGTGGTCCAGTGGTTAAGACGCTGTGCTTTGACTGCAGGGGGCATGGGTTTGATTACTGGTTGGGGGACTAAGAACCCCAAAAACCTTACTTGGCCAAAGAGGACAGCAGCAGCTGGCAGGCAGACACTTGGGTCCAAGCCCTTGCTGGGCACTATGGACTGGTCAACTGTGCTCTGGGCTGTGTCCCTTACTGGGCCTCCCTGTGGCTCACCCACTCTGAGAGTCCAGGACAGCAAACCAGGGTGTGAAACTCCAATTCCCAAACCAAAAGTTTTCCACAAAGCATTCTCTCTCCTAAGTGACTCAGTGACTCAACAAATGTTACTGAGAATCTCTTGTCCACCTCCTAATTGCTTTCCCAAACTCCTGTGCATCCTTCAAAACTCAGGTTCCAATGTCCCTTCCTCTAGGTAAGCCCACTGTTTGTTAAGTGTCAAACAGCAGAACTCATATTTGAATGCAGGCCCATTTGGTGCCAGACTAAGTGTTCTTGCTAGTGATTCCTCCTTCCAAGTTCAGAGCATCATAGCTTATGAACGGCTCTTATCCAATGAGAGAAAAATGCATTTGATGGTTCAACAAACATCTACTGAGTGCCAGCTCCATGTATGATGCTGGGGCCCAGCAGAGTCCTGGGCTCAGCCCTCACCCAGATCCTGATTTGGGCAGGGATGGATATTAAACAAGCTAGGAAATGTAATAAAATGTCAGGTTGGACTTCCCTGGTTGTCCAGTGGTTAAGACTCTGAACTTCAACTGCAGGGAGCATGGGTTCAATCCCTGGCTGGGGGACTAAGATCCCACAAGCAGCAGCCAATAAATAAATAAATAAAACAGGGAATTCCCTGGTGATCCAGAGGTTAGGACTCTGCCTCTGCACTCTCACTGCTGAGGGTCTGGGTTTCATCCCTGGTTGGGGGACTAAGATCCCACAACTCGGAGGTGTGGCTAAAAAAATAAATAAATGAAAGACAGAAGGAAAGAAAGAAAGCAAAAGAAAGGAAGGATGGAACAAAAAAGAAAATTTCAGGTGGAACAAAAAAGAAAATTTCAGGTGGAACAATGTGCTCTAAAGAAATTTAAAGGAGTTTGTGGGGAGGGGGTGGAGGGTCCAGGGAGTCCCCTGGGGATGGTTCTTTTTAGTTGGAGGTGGTCAGGGAGGGTCTCTCATAGGAGAGGACGCTTGAACAAAGACCTAAAAGATGACCATCCATGGTAGGAGCTTTCCAAGTGGAGAACACAGCACATGCAAAGGTCCTGAGGCAGGATCATGCCTTATGTTTGGAGAGGACAGGGGGGAGGCCAGTGAGGCTGGAGCAGAGTGAGTGACAGGGAGAAGAAAGAGGGAGGGCAGGGAGGGGATGGGCAGGTCAGGCAGGGCTTTTGAGGATCCCCTGGGAAGACTTTGGGTGAACGAAGTCCAGGGACTAGAAAATCTGGCAAAGTGACCAGTGAGTCTGAGCCCTGAATCTCCTGACTTTACTCTCTGTGCCCTGGGGTCCTGGGTGGATGCTGAGCCAGAAGGTTGGGGTGTGAGGGAGAGAGACAGGGAGCAAGGCTGAGCATTTACTGAGCTCTCAACTCTACAAAACAGGGAAAATGTTGTAAGACTGAGGCACAGAGCACTGAAGCCACTGGCCCACAGTCTCAGAGCCAGGAAGGAGCTGAGCTGGGACTTGAACCTGGGTCCCTGTGACCTTGAACTTCTTGATACTTGGCCCCACTGCCAGCTCCCCCAACCCCCCCAAGCACGCGGCCTGGTCATTCCTCAGGGCTTCCTGTTCTGCACCCCACCTGCTCTCTCTGAATCCCACGTGGCCCCCTTCTGCTGCTCAGCCCTGGGTCACGTGCCACCTCCTCCTCGGGAAGCCAAAGCAGCAGCCGGGTCCTGCCATCCCCTCACTACACTGCAGCCCCTCGAGGGCATGGCTTTGATCTGTTTCTTCACTGCCGCTTCAATGGCATCCAGGTTAGAAAGGACCAACATCATCCTCTGCTTGTTCCCAATGCATACACCCCAGTGGACAAAGGAAGCTGGTTCCCACGTGGGTCTGGTCAAATTCAGGGAGACCCTGTACAGAGCTAGCCAGGTAGGGGAGGAAAGACCAAGAGAAAAAGCCTGGCAGGGGGTAGTAGTTACGGTTCAAGGTTCTGGGGAGTCACTGCTGCCCCTGGCTCCCAGCTCGCCCTGAGTAGTGACAGAAGGCAAGGAGGACAAGCTGGAAAGTGCCTATGGGGTGTTGAATCCAGTTATCAGTTTCGGTGCTAAGTCACTTCAGTTGTGTCTGACTCTTTGCCACCTCATGGATGGTAGCCCACCAGGCTCCTCTGTTCATGGGATTCTCCAGGCAAGGATACTGGAGTGGGTTGCTATGCCCCTCCGCCAGAGGATCTTCCCAACCCAAAGATCAAACCTGTGTCTCTTGCATCTCCTGCCTTGGCAGGCAGGTTCTTTACCACTAGTGCCACCTGGGAAGCTGTAGTTCTTAGTTTAGCAACAACCATCATTACAGCCAAGCTTATTTGGCACTGACTGTATACCAGGCCCCAAGCTAAGGTTGAAGCATTCAAGGAAGGACTAGGACACCTGCCTAGAGACAGCCACCTGGGTAGGATCTACATGCATATCCAAGGCCAACCTGGGTTCCTGCCTCAGTGACCCCAGTCAGGGCACACACGTGTGCACGTCTGTATGCCTACACGTGTGGGAGTGTGAGCACTGGGGACGGCACACTCAGGGTCCACTCGCACCCAGTATACGTGTGTGCGGGTCACTGTGAACCCACCTGCTCGTGGGACAGGAGGCCCCAGGACACTTGGTGGGTCCCATCCGTTAGGTGGGAGACAGGGAGGTAGGCCAGCTCAGGCAGAGAGAGAGTGAGGAGGGGAGGAAGGGAGAGAACGCTGACTCGGCCAGAAGCCCAGCGTCGTGATTTACAAGGCACCCGACCCTGAACACCTCTGCTGCAGAGGAGGGAGGGGGAGAGTCACGGACTTAGAGGGAGACAGAGAGAGGGAGAGAGACATGGCGGGAGGTTGTGCCTTGTACAGGAGCCAATCGGAGACCACCAGACCACAGGTCATGGGGGGTAACCTCAGGGAGCACCCACCTGCCCAGGCCTGGCCAGTCAGGTGGGCAGTGGCTCCAGTTCCAGACTCACCAGCCATGCTGTGCCACCGGGGGCAGGCCCTAGCCCTCTCTGATCTTGGCCCCTCTCCCAGGCCTGAAATGCTAGGAGACCCACCCCCCCAATCCCAGCAGAGCCTCCATGAACTCATACTAGGCTGGCACTTCATGCCTTCAGTGCCCTGCCACAAGCCGCGGCCACATACATCTGGCCCATAGGAGGCGCTTAATGAAGATCTACTATATTCAATCAAGATAGAGTCGAGGACCCTCCCCTAGCCTCAGTCTCCCCACTGGAGAAACTGATTTTTTAAAAAAGAGTGTTGCCCCACCAGGCAATGGGGTGAAGCAATGAAGGGAAGAATGAATGAACGAGGGGGGCCCTGGCGGCCGGCGCTGCCGTGGCCACGGCCCAGGCCCAGCCTCGGCCCCGGGGAATCCTGGGCACTGCAGCCAAGAGGGATTTGGCCCCAAACCCGGAATAACTAACGTGGCGGTGGAGGCGGGCGGGAGGGAGGCAGGGAGGGAGGCCCAGAGCGGGGCAAGCGTGGGGAGGCCGGCCTTCCCGCCGGCAGGATTTATGGAAGTAACGGCTGCTCCACACAGTTCCTCTTAAGAGTAAAAGTGAAAAGCATTTGAGTCACCACTGAAACAAGGACGGCACTCCCAGAATCCTCCAGGGCCGTCTGGGCCGCGGCCGCATAGCCCCCCACCCCCAGGTGGGCAGGACCTTGGGGGCACAGGGCAGGCTGGCACCGGAGCAGCCAGCTCCCCCCCTGCACACACCCCCAGCCGGTCTCGGCTCTGAGAAGATCCGGGTCGGATCAGCTAAAAGGAAGCTATTTTCGGATGGGCTCAGGTTGTAAAATTAGTCAGTAGAGGAGGGGAGACAGAGGCCCAGAGATGGAGGGAGAGAGATGGAGAGGGAGAGAGACAGGGAGAGATGCAGGCAGTCAGAGAAAGGTGGGTGGGGCGAGATTAAGATGCAGCCAGGAGTGGGGGGCGTCCTCTGTGGACAGTCTGGGTCCTTCCAGATCCCCCAGCTGGAAAGCCCAGACCAGACTGAGCCTGCATGCAGCTTTGGAGATTACACCAAGGCTGTGGAAGGAGATTGAGGGGGGTCCCAGGCATCCCTCCAGGGTGGGGGGCACCCATGGGCAAATAAGCAGAGGAGAGGGATCCCCTTGCCTCTGGGTCACCCCATCCCCACCCTGGCCTGGGAGCTCCCAGGTCCTCTCTCCAGACTGTCTCCCAGCCGCCCTGTCCTTTGCACACAGAACCTCAGGTATTTTTTATTACCATGTTTCCACCGAGAGCCCGCCTGGCTGATCCTTGCCCTGTGCCCAGGGAAAGCCAGGCCCAGGGAGCAGAGGAAGGCCAGCTCTGCTTCTCACTGCCACCCCCACCCCCTCACCCCCGGGCAACGTGGACCGAGGCCTGTCTCCCAAGGAGTCCTGATGGGGGAATTCCAGGGCGCAGTGACAATAGGCTGCCGTCCAATCTCCTCGCCTGGAATAGCCTCCCTGGGCTCAGCCCCCCTGGGCGGTTCCCAGAGGGAGGGAGCCAGCGAGCGCGGGAAGGACAGAGGGGGCGGGGGCACCTCGGGGCCACCCAGGCCACCCCTTGAGGCCCAAGGTCACCCAGCAACCCTGACTAGGACCCTCATGGTACTTGGGGATCTTTAGAGCAACAAGAGGCAGAGGGGAGCCAGCAATGATTGCTTTGGGGGACCCCAAAATTTGCTCTGAAGGGGAAGGGAGGTCTGGAGAGGGCAGGGACATCCCCAAGGTCACTCGGAGGATAAGGGGTAAGACAGGCCCCTCGACCCCCTTGGCATGGGCCCTCACATTCCCTGTGGGGAGCCAGAAACTGGAGGGACTGGAGGGGGCCTGTGAGAAAGAGCCTGCTATGCAGGACGGGCACCCCAGGATCGTGAATGGTGGCGGGGGACGCCCAGCAGAGACTAGCATCCACGTGCTCCCCACACGGTAGTTGGTCCTCAGGATATTCGGTGGCCCGCTGGATGCCCAGCTTCGGCGGCCCGCACTCGACACTGCCTCTCCCTCCCGAAACTGCCTCCGCAGCCGCTTGTCACTTTGAGGGAAACTGAGGCCCGACCCCCATGGGTTAAAGACATCCAAGGACGTGGGGTGGGGGCGGAGCTGGAGAGTGGAACCAGCAGACCTGGGAGGGTCCCCCTGGAGGAAGCTGGGGGAGAGAAGGGGTCCCCTGGGGCAATCCCGGGCACAGCCGACCCCTCCCCACACACCCCCTGGGTCATTGCACAAGGGCCGAGCCCGGGCAGTCTGGGAGCGCGGCCAGGGGTGAGAGGCTACAGGAGGGGGCAGGGGCAGGTGCCGGGCTGGCGAGGGCGTCTGCAGCGCCGCAGTGCCCGGGCCAGACCCGGGCTCGCCCGACCTCCCGGCTCCTCCCGCCGGCGGCGGCCGCTCAATAATCCACAATCGATGCAGCGAAAATATTGGGCCGGGGTTGGGGGCGCGCGGGGAGTGGGAGACCCGACGGGACGTTGGAGCACCCCTCCCCCACCGCCGGTGTCTCCAACTTCGCGTGCCCCCTCCCCCTCCGCGCACACGTGGGCCAATAATGGGGGGAAAGGCGGCCAGGGCCGGGGTGGCGGGGCACCACCTTATGGGGGGGGGGTGTTCGTCCCTGTATCAGAGGGGTCCTCCCCTCCAGAGTCTCCTGACGTCCAGGATCCAACCGGGACCCCCTCGATTCCTCTTATGAGCAGGCCTGGGTCCAGTCTGGGGATTCGCACAGAACCCCGCCTTTGGCCTTCTCCCGGGCACCCCTCGACCTTCCCGGGTGGGGTGGGGGTGAGCCTCCTGCGTCTGGGGAGGGCGAGACTGCAGGATGAGCCCCCACGTCCGCCAGGGGGAGAGGTCCCGTGGGGCGCGCGTCCCGGATAAGGGTCCCAGCCCATCCCCCCCGCCTACCGGACCCTGGCCTGAGGCAGGGGCATCCCGGCCGCGGCGGCGGGAGGGACGCGCGCCTTTTTCGTCCCGCCTCCTCGGGCTTCCAAACTCCGGGGCCCGGTGGCTGGGGGCGCGGGGCCGGGGCACGGGGGACTCGCGCCCGGGGCTGGGCGGGGGGCGTACCTGGGTCAGGCAGAGCGGGGACGAATACATCCCGGGCGCGGCGGGAGGCGCAGGGCCGGCCGGAGCGGGCGCGCTGAACTTACTGAGTCATTTTTCCAACCCCCCCCCCCCCCGCGGCCGCGGCCGGCGCGCTCCTCGCCGCCTCCTCCCTCGGTCTCCCTCCCTCCTCCCTCCCGCGCTCTCCCTCTCTCCTGCGCCCGACTCCCTCTCTCTCTCTCCCTCTCTCTGTCTCTCTCTCTTCCTTTCCCGTCCCCCCCCCCCTTGTCTCTGTCTCTGTGTCTCTGTCTCTCCTCCCTCCGGCAACCACCTCCCTCCCTCCCCCAATTTCTCTCCCCTCCCACCCCGAACCTCCCACTTCTCAACATCCAACTTTCAAAGAAACGAGGGGGGAAAAAAGAGCGCGAGCGAGGAAGGAAAGCCGCTCCCCCCGCGCTCCCCGAGCCTCCTGAACCCCCATCATTGCTTATTATTACGAATTTCGAGCCGCCCTGTGCCAGGGCACCGGACGGGGACCAACGGACCTGCGCACACCCCGACAGCAGCGGGTCCCCCTGGATCACCCGCCCGAGTCGAGTGGGTAGGGGTTGGTGGCTCTTGTGGGACATTTGGAGGCCGAAGGTGGATTTTGAAGCCCCCCCCCCAACCCGCCCCAAGCTGGCCGGGAAGTTGGAGAAAGGAGCCAAGGTGGGGGGGAGGGAAAGAATGAAGAAGTGACGTGTGCAGAGGCCCGGCGCGAGCGCGCTTTTCCCCTTAAAGATGTACAACCCGGGGTGCGTGGCGGGAGAAGGGGGTCTCATGGTATCCTCTCCATCTGATCGCCCGCGAAAGCCAGACCGGTACTGCAATTCCTAGGCAGAGGGGCTTGGCTACAACTGCTCTTCCGTGGCCAGAAGGGCCCCAACCAACAGGGGAGCCTCCAGAACTCGGCTCTTGCTTCCTCAGCCAGCACCAAAGGAGAACTGGGAGCTGGGGGCTGGGGCTTGGGCCTCCCCCATATGTTTCCCCAGTACCCAGGAGGAAGGTGTCCAGGAAGAATCTCAGGCTGGCCAGATAAACCCTTGCAGCCTCTTTCTAGGTGTCAGTGATTCTTACTGACCCCCACCCACAGTGTACCCATTTGACGGATCCAGAAACTGAGGCACTGGAGTGACTTGGAGCCCAGTTACCTGGCCCCAGAGCCCACATTCTGCAGGCTCTGTAGTTCTCCCTCTGGAGAACAGACCCGCCCTCCTCCAGTCTGAGCCCCCAGGGAGCCTGACGGACCTGGCCTCACCTCTCCCTGAGTTCATTCTGCACACCCTCTCAGCCTCTCTCAGGCGCTTCTGCCACCTCAAAGAGCAGGATGCTCCCTGCTTGGCATCCTCCCCTGTGGAGTGGATGAACAGTGCCCACCCCCTGGGGTTGGTCAGCAGAACAGCACTTAGAAGCGCCTTGACCTTCCGTTTAAATATGCACTGCGATGCTCTTAGAAAGCTTGGCCATTCTGACCCATCTCCAAGGACAAATGATAACCCCTCACCAACTTGGGACAGCCAGCCCATGCCCAGGAAGACTGTTATTCTCCTGTGTTATAGGGGAGGAACCTGAGGCCTGAGGTAAGATGCTACTGACCTGGGGCCCTGGGGCTAGGCCAGAAGGAAGCAGGATTCACAAGGGACACATATGCCCAGCGTCCTGCCGGCTCCCCCTGCTGTGAGTGACAGTCACTCAAATGGCACTTCACTAATGTTTTGTTTTTCTAAATTCCCACTGTGCAACCATGGGGGGCATTTAAACCTCAGGATGAAAGGGAGAGACAGGTGTCTAGGAATCCAAATGCCAACATAACAGAAAGCAATATTTTATTATTTTTAAAACCATTGTGAACACCTGGAGGGCAGAATCCCCAATTCACAGACATTTTCAAGTTCAAGTGCCTTAGGAGCTTTCTCCCAGGTGGCTTCGACTGCCAGACTGTTCCCCACACCCAACTGGCATGCAGCCTTCACCAGGCAGTTTGGGTTACTCTGGAATGCAGTTTGGAGAGCACAGACTTTCTCTCTGTCTCTCTCTAAATCTCAGTTTCCACATCTGTAAAATGGTTACAATAGATACAACTCTCGCATTTTGGGAGGTTGGGCAGATTGGAGTCCTTGAGATAAGGTGTGGAAAGACAGTATTAATATATTAGTGGTGGCAGGTGCAGGTTCACAATTGAGAGTGAAGAGTTCTATCTACCTATCTATCTATCTAGGCTTCCCAGGTGGTGCTAGCTGTAAAGAACCCATCTGCCAATGCAGGAGACATAAGAGACGCAGGTTTGATCCCCGGGTTGGGAAGATCCCCTGGAGAAGGAAATGGCAACCCACTCCAGTATTCTTGCCTGGAGAATCCCACGGACAGAGGAGCCTGGCGGGCTACAGTCCATGGGGTTGCAAAGAGTCAGACATGACTGAAGCGACTTAGCAATGCATCTGTCTGTATCTATCTATCTATATCACCCAGTTCAGCAGAAAGAGGTCCCTACAGTATACACAGGAGGTCCACAGCAGGGCAGTTTTAGTGTAGGGTTACAGTCTTGGGTCCTTTAGCCAGGAGCCCAAATTGCCTGTGCCTCAGCTTCCTGTTCTAAGAAATGGGGTGATAATAGTTTCTACCCCTCTGGCCTGTTGTAGGTAAACCGGCAAATGTTTGGACTGCACATAGTGTTTTTGAAACAAAACAATTGCTGGGCTGGACCTATGTGTGGAACATTTGGGGAGGGGGGCGTCGCATGACTTTAGCTCCTGGCGCTTTGGAACATAAGTTAACTCGTTTGTTTAAAAATGCTCTCCCCATCACTCACTCTTAGGCTCCTCTGTAACTGTCCCAGCTACAGACACAGGAGGGTGTTGACTGTCACCCTATAACACTAATACCAACAATATGGAGCCAGCTACCGTGTCCGTCGTGGGGACCAGTTCAGCAGTGCCACCCAGAAATACTACACAGCTCCACAAAAGAACAAGGGACTCCTACCTGGAGATGCCTCCAAGAAACACCCTGCAGTCCAGGGCTCCGCCCCACCCAGCACTTCGGACCATCCTCTCTGACTGGGCTGTCCTGAGCACTGTGCGGGGTGCACAACAGGAGCCCCCCCACCCAGTGTGACAACCACAGGTGGCCCTAGACCTCACGCAGTGTCCCCTGGGGAGAACCTCTGCTGTAGACTCAGCAAACAGACTCAAGATCTCATTTGGGAATTTTTTAAAGAATATACATATATCCTTTATGAGAGTGTGTATCCATTACACGTGTAGCTGCTCAGACAAAGCTGGATGCAAATAGGGTTTTTTGGAGTAGGGAGTCCCACACGGTGGGGGTGACGAGGAAGCTTTGATTTTTACTCTGGGTAATTCTACATCCTCTTAAGATGTTCATGAGTGGCTTGTGTTATTAAAAGGCAAACTTTAAAAATGTGAGTGGAATCCACAGCAAAATTTTAAAAAGCAAGAGCACCTCAGGGAGGAAGGATAAGAGCTGGAGCCGCCTGGGAACCCCCCAGCTGCCACACCCAGCAAACTGAGTTCCAGCCAGTGGGGCAGGACCACTCCTCCTCCAACCTTGCAAGGCATCCTCTGTGTCCCCATTTTACAGATGAGAAATTGAACCCCCAGAGGGGGATGTTAAGGTCCTCAGCCTTGAGAAGTGATGGTGGGATGACACTGGGGCTGACACAGACATACAACACAGAGGCACGCAAACACACCCAGCATGCCACGAAGAGACACACAGACGTTACAGAAACACCTCAACAGAGGCACACAGATTCTCGCAAGTCACACAGACTCCGACAGATACCCAGACCCAAGGGGACACACACACAGACTCACGTAGACTCAGAGACACACAGACCCATACGAGGGCATGCACAACCTCAAATACAACACAAGTGCAACCAGCCACAATAACACACTCAGACCACAACACGACCATACATGCTTAGGAGCACGCGCACCCATAGGCAGAACGCCTCCCAGGATTATACACCAGCGCGCGCACACACACACACACACACAGAGGCTTCCCTGGCGGCTTAGACAGTAAAGAATCCACCTGCAATTCAGCATCCCTGAGTTGGGAAGATCTCCTGAAGAAGTAAATGGCAACCCGCTCCAGTATTCTTGCGTGGAGAATCCCATGGACAGAGGGAGCCTGGCAAGTTATAGTCCATGGGGTCGCCAAGAGTTGGACACAACTGAGTGACTATCACACACGCACAGTGACACACGACACACTGCAGTCCTGCTCCTCCCTCATGGCTTCCCCCCCAGTTGCCCCCACAGCTGGAGTCTTTGCTCCCCAGATCTTCAGGGACCGTGGCTTCCACGTGGAACTGGGGGATGGCGGGATGGGCTTGGCTCCTCCCCCTCCCACAAACGCGGGTGCCTGTTTGTGTGTCTGCTGCCTGCCGTTGTGTGACTGTGTGTGCACCTGTGTAGGGGCAGAGTTCTATACACGTGTGGCTGTGAACAGATAGCTGTGAGTGTCACGGGTGCGTGCTACTGACTGCTACTGACTGACACGAAGGTATTCCCCTGTGCGCCCGCTGTGGCGGAGGGCAGTGCCTGGGGATGGGGGGTGGGGAGGGCAGGGTTTCAGCGCTGGCAGTGGGTGTACGGGGTGGGCAGCACAGGCTGTTGAGGGGCCTGAGGGTGGGGGAGCTCACAGGAGCTGAGGACCCGTAAATTGGGTGTGGATGCTTCCCTGTGTCACTGTGGGACCCCTTTTTCTACCCTTCCCAAACAGCACCCCCAAAGGGGATGCAGGTTCAAAGTAAGACCCAAAGACTCTAGCCTAGTCTTGGGGCTTTTATACTTAGAAAATTAAATAAAGCGCCCTGGGGTGGGGCGTGGGGGCGTGGTGGGGATTCCCCTGGAGGGGAGAGAACAGCACTGCGTGCCCATGCGTCTGGCGCGTCCCAGACAAGCGCTGGAGGCAGGGCTGGGGCGCGGCTCCCTGCTCATCCAGCCCAGAGGGTCTCCTTGGCCACTTCCCTGGTCCAGACCTAA